CTGAACATCTATCTCTTTGTGCCTTTGTTCCCCAATACTTCATATTCTGTAGCCCACTTTCAGTTTGGAGCTCTGTTCTTCTCACCTTAAGTTCTGAGAGATCTCTACAGCCCACATACTAAAGTTAGTTTCCCGTTGCTGTGACTCTTACCAGAGGAACAACTTAAGTCGGGTAAGGTTCGTCTTTGCTCACAGTTTCAGTCTCAGTGCCTCCCAGAGGAGGTGAAGGAAGCAGGGAGGGAGGCAGACAGCAGGACAGAGGAAGAGAGGGCGAGACAGGGAGGGAGGGAGAGACAGAGCAAAGGGAGGGGGAGGCACGGAGGGAGAATGTTGAGACTGCCTCCTTCTGCCTGAGCTCCCCCTAGGCACCCAGCCTGATGGGTGTCCCTGCCCACATTCAGAGCGCGTCTTCCTGTTTGGTCGTCCCCTGGAAACACTCAGACTCATTCAGAAGTGTGCTCTATGGCTGCCTAGGGACTCCAGGACTGCAGTTTCAGGCGCAAGTGGCCACCGCAGCTTTGTATAGGAGGCTGGGGACCCAAATTTAGGTCCTCATGCTTGCATCTCCCCAGCCTCAGAATTTGCTTGTTTATGTTTGCCAAAAATCCTTGCTAAGGTATCAACAGGGATTTCACTTAAACTTAGAAATTGCTTTCAGAAAACAGATACCTTTAATACGCAGAGATACCAATGGATGAACACAGCTACGTATCCATTTTTTTCAAGTCTTTGTTTTTTTTCATGAGCATTTTGTAATTTTCAGCACACAGATCCTGTACATTGCTAATATTTCATCGCCCCCTTCCCTGAGCAATTGTAAAAGGTGCTGTGTTTTTAATTTCAGTTTCTGCATATTCAGTATTAGTAAACAGAAATGTAATTGAGTTTTCTGTGTCTTGTACCTTACAACCTTGCTGAATCTATTAATTAGAGTTAAGAATTTCTCGGTGTGCTCTGTAAATTTTTTCCTTGTAGATAATGACATCATAAATATAAGGCAACATTAAAAAATTTCTAGAAATTTTATGCTGTGATCATAAACGAAACACTAATATCAACTATCACAAAAGGATGCAATTCTAAAAATGAACACAATTGTAAAAATTTAATTCTGGCTAAGGCAGTGTTATTTTCAAAAGGCTGGTAACCCCCCCCCCCTTTCCTTCTTCAAAGGAAAGAGGCAAATATAAAGACAGGTGTTCCAGCCAGGTCCGGTGGTGCAGACCTGTAATCTCAGCTACTCAGGAAGGCGAGCCAGGCAAGCAACAGCGCAAGGCCGGCCTGAGCTAATGTAGGGTCAACTTAGTGAGGCTCATGGTTTCTTCAGCCATTCTGTGGTAGAGCACCAGCCTATCATGCACATACTCTAAACTCAATCTCTACTTCCACAAAAAATAATAATAATAAATTAAAATAAGAGGCGTTTAAAAAATCTTGGTGGGAGGACTGAAGACAGCGGGATGGGTAAGTACTCACCATGCAAGTGTAAAGAATTAAACATGGATGCCTAGCATACATACAAGTGTCATGGCATGGCAGCCCATCTGTGAAGATTTGTCTCTGGGGCAGTCTGTCTAGCTATACTAGCTGAACTGGTGCGCTGGGTTCAGCAAACACCCTGCCAAGAAGAAACCTGACATCAACTTCTGACCGCCACGTGCACTTTGCACACATGTAAACATGCATATGTACACCACAGACACAAACATGAGGCTTCCAGGGAACATTCTCTAGAATACAGCATGGCTAAGCCATAAAACAACCCTCAAGAAACTCCTCCAGAGGTGGTGAGACAGCTTAGTATGTAAAGATGCTTGCTGCCAAACCTGAAGACCCAAGTTCAATCCACAGGACCTACACATAGAAGAACCAACCCCCAAAAGTTGTCTCTGACCTCTACAAGCATGCCATAGTGGACACACACATAGATACATAGATACATAGATACATAGATAGATAGATAGACATTCATTTCTCACTGACCTATTCAGAAGTTTGAATAAGAACTACAAAAACAGGTCATTTCCTCTGTTGCATAATCAAAACAGTGCCCTCTCGGATGACAGTGTGAACAACAAAAGACTCCAGGCTTTGAACACCTGTGGGATCTTAGTGAGCTTGGCTCAGGCCTCACTGATGCCAAACTGACAACGCAAAGCAAGTTGAGCATAAAGGCTGGCAGGCTGCCAGGGATGGAGGGCCTGATGGTATCCCTGGAGGTGGTAGCTGGGTGATGTTGGATCATCATCCCTTGGAGATAGAAGGGTTGTGAGTGAATTTATAATCAGGAGTGGGTGGGTTTTAGCTAAGTCATCTTAGCTGGACGTGTACTGTGTGATGCACACAGCAGGAGGTCTACAGAGAGCATCAATTAAGTCCACCTTGGGAATGAGAGGCAGCCATCCTGCTTTAGCTGGAGATAGTGCTGATCTGAGACTGTCTCTCATCAAGAACCCCCATCCTCCCTGCCTCGTATTAGCCACAAGGTCCTTGTCTGATGTGGGGAATTGAAATACAGAGACTACCAGACCAGGGTTTCTCCACAGCTCAACTGGAACACCTCAAATCCCAGAGCTAAAGGAAGGTCTGTTTTGATCATGTGGCTATCAATACCTTCTTACCTCCCTTTTTTCTAAAATTAATGTTTAGGTTTCAGTGTAGCAAACAATCCTATCCCATTCAACTAGAAATCAATTTCCTCTTAAATTTTAGTCCATTGGTGTGCACAGACACACACACACACACACACACACACACACACACACACACACACACACACTTGCATCTCCCCACCCCTGTCAAGAGAGAAAGAGGGTGACTTTTCTTTGTCAAGGTCCCCTTGACCACAATGAGGTGTCAAATGAAAACACCTCTTTTGCCAAGGCTGACTCTGCCCACCAACCACCCAACACAGGAAACACGAGCCAAAAAGTTGTTTCAGGATTACAATAAAGAAGTGTATCTGAGCTAAGTCTGGGGAGTTTAAACACTTGTCCAACCCCCCAGAAAAATAAGCGATTAAGTGGTGTTCATGGATATTATAAACCTACCTGATGCAATGTGATACAACGCGTTTGCAAACACAAAGAAACAGAGTAATTTGCCAAATGCCACTGTGAAGACTTTTGCAAGATCCATTTTCAATGCTTACTTAATTTTGGTTTAGTCATATTTAGATATCAAAACTAGGAGTGTGGTGCAGCTGTCTTTATTAAAACCCACAATGGGAATTCCTGAGAATTCAGAGCCAAAGGAATGGAGACAAAACAAGTTTACAATACTATACTTCCCCCATCAGTGGTTTTGTTTCCCAGGGCATCAGTCACCCACAGTCGAGTCCAAATATATCCGTGGAAAATTCCAGAAATAAATCATTATACTTTAAGCAGCTTTTATTTTTATTTATTTATATTATTACAAACTGTTCTGTTTTATTAGTTGCTGTTCCAAATCATTACTACTATGCCTGATATATAAAATAAATTTCATCACAGATTTGTATATAGAGAAACCGTAACATAGATGGGGTGTGGTGTAATCTATGGTCTCTGATGTCCACTGTAGTCTTGGAATCGATCTGTCATGAGAAAGGACGACCTATGCATAACCTTCTGAAGTAGCATTCATTTCATCAGCAGCTAGCTTACCCGGCTAGATAGTGTCATGATGTCTCTAACGCACTCTCTACAGTCTGAATCGCCATGCGAGTGTGTTCTTCCAGGCTCATAAGCTAGAAGCACCGTGGAAGAATGGGCGGTGCTTAGGCCATGGTGAGGACAACCCTCAGAAGGGATCAGTGCAATTCTCATGAGATTCTACGTGGGACAGGTTGTTGTAAACAGACAAATTGCTGCTTGAATCTCACTGGGCCCCTACCCGACCAAGTGATGATTCTACATATGGCCTCCATTCTCTTCCTATTTTTCTTATTTTGTTTGTTTGTTTGTTTGTTTTTTCGAGACAGGGTTTCTCTGTATAGCTTTGGAGCCTATCCTGGCACTCGCTCTAGAGACCAGGCTGGCCTCGAACTCACAGAGATCCGCCTGCCTCTGCCTCTCGAGTGTTGGGATTAAAGGTGTGCGCCACCAACGCCCGGCTCTCTTCCTATTTTTCTACCATGTTGTACATAATATAGTCACCAGTGTGCCATTGTTGAAACTCTAGGCAAAGCACAAGGAACTTCTTATCTTTATAAAAGCCCAGCCTTGGGTATTTTGATCTAACAATCAGAAAAAGGACTAAGACATAAGGTCAAGAAGTTCCATAAACCGGGGCTGGAGAGATGGCTCAGAGGTTAAGAGCACTGACTGCTCCTCCAGAGGTCCTAAGTTCAATTCCCAGCCACCACATGGTGGCTCATAACCATCTGTTATGAGATCTGGTGCCCTTTTCTGGTGTGCAGATATACATGGAAACAGAATGTTGTATACATAAATAAATAAATAAATAAAATCTTTAAAAGAAAAAAATAAGTTCCATAAGTCATTGCCACATGGGGTGCTGCCACAAAAATATGTATCCTATTCAGATATTAAATCAAAATAGTAGCATTATATAGTCTGGACTACATCCTTAGGTTGAAATCTAAAACAAACATGTTATAGAAAATATCAAGACTTCCAATCATTTGCATATGAAAGTGTTACTAAAATTATATTAGTTGTAATGATAAGAAGAAAAAAAAGGTAACAGAACACTGTAGTCCAACAATAGAGTTATTGATATGGCTGTGTTATGCATAGGCCATGTGAGTTAATATTCACCATCATAGGTGCCATCAAGTTTCTATCATTCTCCTATAATTCCACTCTGGCTGAATAATATCATACTGACTATCACAAGTGAGGGGTCATCAGTCAAATCATTACACAGAGAGCATAAACAAGGAAAGACACAATCCCATTTTAGAGACTTTTGGGGACAGGACATGTGAAGCACGCACACACACACACACACACACACACACACACACACACACACACATTTGAAACACATCTTACCTAATATCTGAGAGGTCACATTTATTCCCAGCAATTGCCATCACAATGTTTTCTGGGCCGTGCTCTTTCAGCTCCTTAACCCATTTTTTCAAGGTATGAAATGAATCCTAACAAAAAACAAGATGAGTCACTGAAAAGACTTGCCAATACATTTCAAACAAGTAGACCCATGGCCCCTATGTAATTCAATGGGGGGTAAATGTTTGTAAGGAGCACTCAGTTAACGTTAGCTAACTTCCACTCAGCCTATAGCAGAAGCCTCTTTCAAAGCTAAAAATTGAAGAAGTTAAAAAAAAATCACATTATTGGGTTTTTTCAGTAGGTACCATTGACAACAGCCTTGACACTGTGGGAACCAGGATACCAGGTTCAAGTGAATGCTTGCTTCAAGACAGAAACGGATTTGTTCAGGTCCTCCTCCAGGGAGGAGGCCAAAGTGGACAGCACACGCAGGTGGAAGTGGTCAGGATACAACAGCAATGGATCAGCTAATGGTCAGCATTCCGGAGGGACTGGGGGCAGGAGGGACGCCCCCAATCAAAGCACTTATCTGCTATGAATATAACTCAAAATACACTGCCTGAGATACATTCAGTGGATGCCAGGAAACAATGTATGTGTCTCTGTCCCATGAGCGCCCAGGGTGCAGTTTAAGCAAACAATTAGACAGAGTAAGATATTAACAGTAACAAACTAGAATAATCATAATAATGTAATACATTATTTAAAATGTATGTGTTGTTTCTGGAGTTTTCCACTTAATAGTTTTAGACCATAACTAGGACTGCAGAAAATGAAACCACAGATAAATGGTGAAAATGGCAGACAAGCACAATTCATTCACTTTTATAAACATGCATTTTATCTCTGATCTTTGGTGCAACTGAAGCAGTAACAGAAAATTACCTAAAATGATAAAACCTGCAGAACTTAAAAGATTCTCTCGGAACGTGCTCACAGACATGAGCTTGCCTCCATGAAAGCTCAGTTTTAGGGAGCAGAGAGAATACTCAACAGCTAAAAGCAATTGTTACACTTTCCAGAGGACCAGGGTTTGGTTCCCAGCACCCACATGGTGGCTCCCAACCATCTGTAATTCCAGTTCCAAAGGATCCAATGCTCTCTTCTGACCTCTGTGAGAACCAGGCACACACAGATAGCTATGCAGGCAAAATGCTCATACACATAAGAGAAAATAAGTAGATCTTAAAGGGGGGGTCTAAAAGGGGGGCTCAGTTTCAAAAGGAACGTTTATTGTTTTCATAACTGAGAAGATGAAGCAAAGCTTGTTTGTGGAGGAAGCAAGCTGGACACATGGCTTTCACTGTCCTTGCCCCCACACTGTCTAGTCTCCCAAGGTGCTGGCAAGACTCACAAAGCCGCTGCTCTGCTCTGGTGTCTCTGGGACAGTCCCCACCACGGTGTCTGAAGCTGGAAGACATTCTTACCTGTTTGGTGATGTCATACACTATGACGGCTGCGGCCGATCCTCGGTAGTACATGGGCGCCAGTGAGTGGAACTGTGCAGAAGCAGTCAACAGTTTAGGCCACAGTGAACACACAGATTTTAAACATTCCTAAACCACACGTCAAATCCCATAGGAGCTCTAAATTCCCCTAGGACTTCTCCGGAACTTACATTAAATAATAAATTCTGTCCCCCAACTATACATACACTTGTGGTTTATGGACCATGAAATCTCCTCTCGGCCAAAAGCCAGGCACAGAATTTATTTTCACTGTTGACATCCTCTGAATTTTCTTTTCTCTACAATCTCGTTAGAATTATAGAGGGGGAGAGAAAATAAGCCAGGGGTACTAGACCTTTGCAGAGTCACTGAGGAGAAGCAGGCCACGTGCTCTCGGAGCCGGCTGCCAGCTCTAACAGGCAGGGCTTTACTGCCACCAAGGTCAACTAATGGTGATACAGGAGATGGGGGTCTTCGTCCCCAAAACCAGAAACCTAAATGTCACCGCCTACTGGAAACTTCCATCCTGAAATAAGATGGATAATTACTCTCCAAATGAATACATGACAGGCATATTTTGAAGGAGGGCCTAGTCTTAATTTGTATTTTTTAATAAAAAAAAAAGTCTCAGAAAGGACCAGTAAAGGAAAGAAAGCTCAACAGGGAAATGGACAAACCATTATGTACGCAGCCACTACAAGTTACCAAGGAATATTTAAGCTTATTCAATTAACAAAAAAGGTTGATTGATGAGGTAGATATTAACGAACATTAAAAGCCCATGAGTTCAGTGGGCCTGGGGAGGGAGACACTCTCGTCTACTACACGGGAATGGTTTTCAGCCCCACGATGCCACTAGGAACCACACACCAAAAGCTGAATGTGCACGCCCTTGACCTAGAAGTCCACTTACAGGAAATATATTCTAGAGTGACCACCGTGCACAGAAAAGACATTTCCCTACGCTGTGATGGAGAAAAAAAAAATCAAAGAAGAAGGTGAATGTCCATCGCTGCACTGTGTCACACCCTGGACTAAATGTCCGTGGGTCCCGCGCAACTCAAGTGCTGACACCCTCGTCCACGTGACAGCCTTTAGGAGAGAGGTCAGGTGGGACGTCACTGGGGTCAGATGAGGTGGTGACAGTGGAGTCCCAGGATGGGATTAGGCTCTGGGAAAGGAGCCTTCACAAGGCAGTAAGTCTGCGGGTGCCTCGCTCTACCTCCAGAACCATGACGACGAAAGCGGTTGCTCTAAACCATCCTCTCCGCGGCACTTTGTTTCAGCAGCTGAGGCTGACAGAGACACCCGTTTAGAATGGAGCCCCCCACGACCGCTGGAAGGAGGAGAAACTTTATCGTTCTTTTGACATAGTGTTAAGCGAGAAATATCTGAAGGCAGCAAAGACACTACTATCATTTAACGTGAAAATGTGGACAGCAAAGTTTGTACAAATGCTGGAGTCGCATGGTCATCCTCAGTTGTGACCAGTGGGACTTCAGGAATTTGTACATTAAAAGGCTGTGCAATATGAACTTCACAATCGCTTTAGGCAAGTTGGTTTTGGGTGAAAATAATCAGGGCCAGTGGGATGGCTCGGTGCGTCAGGGCACTTGCTGCCAAGCCTGAAGGTGTGAGTTCAGATCCAGGAACCACACGGTAGAAAGAGAAAACCAAATGCTGCAAATTGTCCCCTGGTTTCTATTTGTGTGGTGTGGCACGGCCACATATCCTCCTACCCCACCCTCACACAAAATAAATAAAATATTTCAAAAGATTAATAAAAAACCAGCTATTTAGAGGGTAGTGGTGGCACAGGCCTTTAATCCCAGCACTCAGAAGGCAGATCTCTGTGAGTCTGAGCCCAACCTGTCCTACAGAGCTAGTTCCAGGGCAGCTAGGGCTGTTACACAGAGAAACCCTGTCTCAAAAAAAAAAAAAAAAAAAAAAAAAAAAAAAAAACAGCTATTTTTATTGGGGCATGAAGGAGAGGTAGGAATGGGAGAGGAATTCTGTAGTTTTCCTGGCAAACAACAAAACTGTACCACATGGTACTTCTCACTGGAATGCTCAGGAGATCAAGAGAGGGGCGGGTTACAAACAGGTTGTCTCTCCTTAGAAGGAAAACCACCCTGGAGTTTGGTGGCTTTTAGGAAAGGAGAGCCAAGCTTACCACTGAAGGGAGGCAGAGCCCCTGCCACTCTCTCCTGGCCAGACACCACTCCAGGTCTCACAACACAAGGTGCCTGTCCACGGTCACAGACCTCCCTGTGTCTGTCATAAACGGTGAGCTCCAATGCACGTTTCAGCCCACCCTTGGCAATGCACTCCCCGTGTATCAAAACCAGTCAGAATGTCTGTTCATGGGAAGAAAAGGCCATGTCTGCAAACACTGGGCTTTGCTAAAGGTAGAGGGCGCACAAAGGCAAAGTGGCCTCTCGGTCAATCGTGCACAAGGGTCCCCCTCCTCTCTCATTCACAAGACTGCCTCAGCTAGAGTCAGTACAAGCCCCACTTCCCGGAAGGCAAACACGTGACACAGATTTCCCCTTGGGCTCTGACGCCAAAAGCTGACTCTCAAACAGCCAATAGCATGCGGGTCTCATGAATTATTGAAAGCCCTCAGTAGGGGATGCATTATTCCTTCCCCACAAAGGAACCACTCAGAAATAAATCTTTTGGTGGAGCCACTTAAATGGCTTTATTGCTGGAGATGGAGGGGTTTTAATAAATTCAAAGTTAGCATCTCGCCCTGAAACTCAATAACGCACTGACCAAAGGGTAATACTTGTGAAGGACAAAGAGATAAATCATTTCTGGCCTACAGTATATATCTTTTATCCCATACAAGTAGAACACAAGTGCTCACACACGGTCGGCCACCAGCTGCTGTGGTTTAATTTACTTTCCAAGAGGTCAGAATTAATATCGATGGGATGGCACAGAAGACTCTTCCAGAAATAAAGGTCACAACTGCAGGAGGTTGGTAAAAGCTTTCTTATTAAAACCTCACCTTGAAAGGCTATTTTAAAATCAACACAACAGATGCCGACTCCAACCCTGCAAGCTACCCAACAAAATACAGACTTCAGATTTCAATGCTGAGATGACCCACCAGGTTCCATTCAATCACTTAGGAACAGCACAGAAAATTCTGGAAAGCCAATTTGCCTCTTCAAAGAGATGATTGTCTGTGTTCTTTGAGCATGCGATTTTTTTTAAAGATTTTAGTGTGTGTGTGTGTGTGTGTGTGTGTGTGTGTGTGTACAAGTACATGCTAATTGGACCACCCTGGAGCTGGAGTTACAGAGGTGAGCTGCCCAACATGGGAACCAAATTCAGGTCCTCTGGAAAAGCAATATCTTTAACTGTCACCCTATCTTGACAACTGTTTTTTTGTGGTTGTCTACATCATCAAGCACTTAGAAATTCTTGGACTTCTCAGCTTCTGTGGATGAATGAGGGTTAGTCAGCTTTCCATCACTCTAACAGAAAGGGTTCTTTTACCTCAGAGTTTGGGGTTCCAGTCTGTTATCAACTGCCCCTTCCTTCCCTTCAGCTTGTAGTAAGGGCATGTGTCGTAGGAGGGGCAAGCCCACTCCCTTCAGGAGGAGCCACAGAACACTGGAGGAAAAGGAAGTCACCAGGATCCCACAAACTCCCTTCAAGGGCATGACCCCAGTGACACAAAGACCTCTCACAAGGCCACACTTCATGCAGGCCCCCACCTTCCAATAGCACCACACACTAAAGATGAAACACTTAACACATGGACGTTCAAGATTCAAGCCATAGGGAAGCACGATCCTTCTGAAAAGCAACTACACAACTGTGTGTTTTAAAGTCTTACAACTGTCCAGACTCTAACATGATCTCACCTCTTAAGGTAACAATGATGACAGTCACAAAACCACTGGAATTCATTCCTGTTTCACTGAAGAATCAAAAACATTCTCAAGGTCTACTCATGAGCGAATGGAATCCTAGATTCTGATTTAGTCCTGCAGATACTGGGCAGTAACTAAACTCAAGGTTTTGCAAACCAGCAAATGGTACAAGAGGCGAGATGGCCCCTGGGTGTTCCCTGAAGGTCTTGTGAAGAGCAAATAGTGCCATGGTGCTGTTTGGGGAAGGAAGCAGGTTTCCTGATCACAAAGTCTGGGGAACACAACGCATACTGTTTGCCCAGAGGCCAACAAATTGTTATCAGTACATCAACAGTTGGGGATATTTCTAGAGGAAGGAAATCTGTTTATTTTCATTTTAACTCAAAAATTCCTATTATATTTTAAACTTTTCCTACATAATATGTTAATTAATTGGAACCTAGCGTTGCACAGTGAACCTTGGAAGAATGTGAAGAGAGCAAGATCTGGACGTCCTGAGACTTGGCCTGCTTGGGTCTTGGTTTTTGTATTTTATAAAATGAGGATGGGGGAAAGGCTGGTCTTAGAAATGGCAGCTGCAAGTCTCTCTAACTCTGAAACTCGCAGTGGACTCGGCATCATCTCTGATTATCCCTGTAAGAGGTAGAATTGTTGGTTCAAAGTACAGGAACATTGTGGAGTCTCTATATAGACTCTCTCTCACTTCTGGCCTCTGTAGACACACACACACACACACACACACACACACACACACACACACACACACACTCCTCTCTTTCCCCTCTCTCCCTCCCCTCCCCACCTCTGTAATACAGTACATGTATTATACCAGGAAATTCTCCAGGAAAATTCTTTAATGGCGTGTGGTGATACCGAAAATTTCACAGTAGCAAAACTGCACGTCAGGAGTAAGCAGTGGAGGGAAAGACACAGTTTCCAGACAAGCATGGTTCCGGCTGGGTCATGCTCCCAGAGGAGAATTACCCAGACACCCAGGCTTCAGGTCCCGGGTCTTGCAGGATGGACTCTGCAGAATGATTTCCGAGAATGATCTGTCCCTGGAGAGTCAGAGGCAGCCGGGGACAATGCCAGTCTGTGGCCAGGCTGCAGATCGGCCTCAGGTGCCAGCTCCCAATTAGAAGCTCCAGCCCTCCCCAGGAATGC